GTTTGCTTTCACAGAGTAATGCAAGTCTTGTGACCTAGTTACAAGTTTTGAAAAATATTATGATTTAATTTTGGTTTTTTAGGCCTTATTTTTAAATTGATCCTTTTTTAGTTTCACATTTTACTGTTTAGTTTGCTTGATAGTTGACTTGTATTATTTTATTAAATTTCTTATGTATGAGGTTATTAAATTCAGCTTATTGACTCGAGTCAAGTCTCTTTATACTTTTCTAAAGTTGATTTTATTTCTAGTTGCTCCTTTAACGACCTCAATTATTTTATTAAAAATTTTATATGCAAGATTACCCTATCTCATTATTAGATTGTGAATTTGGTTTACTGACCCGAGTCAAGTTTTTTTATACTTCTTTAAAGTTCATTTTATTTCTGGTTCCTTCTTCAACTTTTGATTTGCTAGTAATTGAAATTCAATTTTTATTTTTTTATTTTTTTTATTTATGAAGTTATCTCGTTCTCGTTCAATTTTGTTTTGTTATCAAATAAGATTATTGAGACGTTTTAAGAATATTTAGAGGGTATATTTTTATAATATTAACAAATGTTTTTTTTTCAATTAGTTATTGGTTTTTTTTGTAACTTTCATTGATTTTTTTATTATAATATTAAATTAACTAAGATTATTAAACCTATTTAAATCCCAATGATATGTATTTTTTTTCACTTCTTTAAAAATACTATCATTGTCTGAAATTTTATATATTTTTTAATGTTAATAAAATCAGATTCGGCCCTCCATGCTGTGAGGCACCTGACTAGTTTCTACTATAATTTTCTGGCATGAAGAGCTACTTCTACGGTGTAATCCAACTCCTGTTTGGAGCTCTCGTGGAATAAAACAAGATATACGGACGAAGCAAACATTATATTACATTAAAATAACAAATGTCTGTCTCCGGTGTCTCTCCGTTTACGAGGAGGACATGGTTGGAAATGGAATACGAACTGTAAATATTGATGGCACGAGCTGTGCGTACTCTACGGAGGCGGCTGAGTAGACTGCATTATATCAGAGTAGTGTTGCCGACGGTCCCCTGATGGTCCTCACCGTACGGGTTCAATGTCTCGAAAGTAAGGGACCGAGAATATGAATGTGATATTAATGGTGTTTTTAAAAATTTCAAATTTATTTATTTTTAAATTATTTTGATGGACTAGTATAAAAATAATTTTTAAAAATAAAAAATATTATATTGAAAGTAAATAAATAAATTTTATTTATATTTATGAATAAAAATATTTTAAAGAATAACTAAATCCATCGTGATTACTTTTATGGAATGTTTATTTTATTAAAAGTTTTGTTTTTCACAGCCCGGGGGTCCGGACTTTCCTATAACAATTCTATCAGCAATTCGCTACGTGAAAAACATTTCGTTACTACTGGCGATTGCTCGACGCTGTTAGTCCAACATTCATATGTAAAATGTAACTAGGTTATTTTGATATAATTTTTGTAAAATAATTTAAGTTTTTTTTTATTTCAACTGAAAAAATTGTAAATATATTTAGTTTATAATGTTTTTTAAAATTAAATAACAAAAATTATTATAAAATTTGTCATAACCTAATTTTGGCCCTTTGGCTTTTAATTTAATTTTTACAGGGTTTAAAATGAAAAATTAAAAGAT